GAAATTAAGCTTGCAATTTTGTCAAATTGGGCTTGTATTTTTTCATATTAGGATTAGAGATATTTAATTTTGATTTGGAATTGAATTAGGCAAGATTGGGATCAATTGGCTTGACATTGGGGCTAATTCGGGAAAATTGGGCCTTTAAGGGAAATTTGGGGCTTTTGATAAAAATGGGTCAAATTGGGTCAATGTGATGGTTTAAAATTGAAATTGGAAATATTTGGGATGATTTTGGAGTTTTTGGTAATTTTTGAAACTTTTGAAAATTTTGGGTCATGAGGGTCATTTTGGTAATTTTGGGAATTTTAGGGTTATTTTAGGAATTTTGGGATTTTGGTAAATTTTGGCCAATTTAGGTGGCGGGGAATGCTTTGGGATGACTTTTGGACAAATTTGGGTATTTTGGGAAATTTTGGGAATTTTGGCAAAATTATGGTTGTAGGGGTATTTTGGTAATTTTGTGATTTTGGGCTAAGATGGGCAAGTAAGCCATGAAACCATGTCAAACCAATAGGAGCCATATGAGGACTCATTTTGGATGCTCAATATGCTGGTCCTAACCTTCTTAGCCAAGGGCTAGGGGTTTGGGTCCATCCATTTGAGCTTTCTAAAAGAAGTCAGGAGACCAAATCAAGTAGTCCTAGGGTTTGGGGTGTGTGAGAAAGTGTTGTGTGTGTAAGCTAGCCTAACCAAGACCAGACCATCTAGGGTTAGCCCTAAGGCTTAACCATCCTTTGGAAAACTCCTCTTGAGCTCCTCCATACTGACCCCACCTACTAAGTGCTAGAGGTCAGGACCAAGATGTAGAACTTCAAGTTGAGTAGAGAAGAGTTCAAAATTTTTAATGGTGATGGTTCCTTTTATAGTCCTCTAGGAATAGTCAACAGGAAAGTCTTATGGCTAGACCCTAGGCCACTAAAGAGGAAGAACTAGACCTTAACCAAAAGTGAGGTCAACAAATGGACCCCGAATAGGTGTGGTTTGCTGAGCAAGCACACTGCACGTATTGGAGTTGACCGACAAGATAAACAAAACCAACTCAGACTCTTAAGTCAGTAGACTTAGAAGGTGTAGAATTGTGTGTGTTATTTGTTTCCGTTAAAGAATTTATATATATTTTTTTTTCAAATGATATTAATTTCTTTGCAATTCATATACTCATTGTAAAGGGGAATTATGCTTTCTTAAATTTGAACTCTTTGTCACAAAAACTTTGTTTAGTTTTCATAATTTTACTTTCAAAAGTTTAGGAGTTAGTTTAATTAACTTTGTTTTTTTACTGCATTTTATTTAACATTCACTCTATTACTTTATATTCAAATTTAGCACTTCACTTTTGTGATTTAAAATTGTAGTTTATATTATAATCTTAAGAATTTACTCATAGGCATATCCAACTTCCCTGTGGGATCGATATCTAGGACTCCATTAGAGCCCTTTATTACTTCAGCAATACGTATACATGCATTATTTTTAGGAGATTTGACAGTTTAAAGATTTTTAAATGATAAAACTATTTTCATTAAATTTATTTTTATTGAGATTAATTTGCATATTTACTGTTGTATCTGCTGTGTGTATTTTGTAATATTTAAAAATATGTGCAAAATTAACACACTAAATCCACCCGCATCATCGTGTTAACATAAGTCAATTCAATGTCCCTATTACTAAGAATGGACCCATAAAAATAAAGTTATCTAATATTGATTAATTTATAATTTGATGTGCTCAGTTTCAATTAAGACTGGCAAAAAGTTCATAAATGGCACTTGGGGAACTCATTCCATAGGACAAGTATAGTTTGATTAATAAAAATTAAAAATAAAAAAGAGAGATTCTAAAAGAATCCATTTTTTGAATCGGTATATGCCTTGATCTATATGAGTTTTAAGGTAACTAAGCAAGCCAACCAGATCTTGTAGTCTCAATAAATCTCTTCCCTAAATAGATCTCCTTTGGTGATAATTTCCCCTTTACTGGTCGTTATCCATACTTATCGTAGCTTTCAAAATGTTAGATCAATATTTTCTCTTAAAATATTTCCAAACCTTATAGTGTTGATAAAAAAGAATGACATGAAAAAGATGAAAGACATAAAAGAAAAACTCTATTAAGTATCTTAGAAGATAATCTTTGCTCTTTTGCAGTTCTTGATTTTCTAAACCCTATTTATTGCTCTTTAGTTATTCCTGACCATTATACAAGATTGAAAATATTTAATAGTAAAAAGTTCATTGAAGTATATAAGACAATATCATACCCAGTAGTGATGTCATACTATTTTGGTAACAAACATGAAATTCATTTGAGTTTCGGTACTCGACACTTAATACTAAGCGTTTAAAGCTTGACACTTCCTACTAAACTCTTAAAGCGTTACACTAGTTATTCATCACTTAGAATTCCTTACTTAGTACTCCACACTCTGAACTCAGCGCTCATTCTCAACATTGGAAACCCAACTTTTGTTACTTAGCAGTTAGCATTTGGCACTCAAACCTCAGCACTTGGTACTCCGCTTTTAAACTCAAAAGACAACTTGGGAGCCAAATTGGCAAGTTTAGGGGTCCTCTGCCTTTAAACTTCATTTCTCATGCAGCAAAGCCTATTTCGAATACTAAATGCAGAAGAGGCGTGAAATATGAGGAAGTGCTATAGAGCCATGATTGGAATATTTAATGATATCCACTAGGATACATTTAGTAAGCACTAGAATGCAGACCACCAGATATCTAAATGTTGTTCCCATCTACTACACCACACATTCAAGTGCATGATATCCACTTTCGAAATGATATTAACAATATTCTAACTTTAGAGTGTGAATTAACTTTTTTTTTATTAAAAACAGTCTTTTGTAATACATTTATATGTGACATATAAAATGAATAAAAAGGGTAGGAGCAAAGATTTTGGCATATTGAAGTAATACTAATGGATAACTAAAATTTTTACACTAACAAAGCATATGTTTTATCAAGAAATAAGAAATTCAACGACTGTTTCATTCATAAATTATAAAAAATAATCATAAATCAAATAGAATGGAGTTTTCAAATTTAGTGAACACACTTTTTTTTTTTTTTATTTAGACCTCTAATTTAGCTACTTTAATTTTTAAGAGATTTTTTATTTTCATGCAAAAACAAAATTAAATAAAAATTTATATATTCTTTTTTCTTCTTCTTTTCTTTTCAGGCGCTCTAGAAGTTTTTCTATTTTTTTTTTAAATATGGTTGATCGCTTCCGAAAATTTAAAAAGTAATATTCTTATAATATTCAATCATGATTTCAAAATTTTTCAAATTATTCTATCATTATTTATTTATGGCTTCAAGATAAATGTGATTAGATATTGCATAAGATGTTTCTAGCATCAATGAGATTTAAGGTTCGAAGGCTAATACATATTTTTTTATTTTTAGTACAATAAATATGGATTATAGATCTAAAAAGAATTATGGCACAAACTTGATCATCACGATTGAATGATATCATTTGTATTAATTCTTTTTAATAGCTAGCCTTTATTGATGGATCCACGTATTAGTTGTCATATTTTGCAACGGGTCTGTTTGAAGAAAAACTAAAATATATTTAATTTATTTAAGAAAAAAAAAATTATTGTTTAAAAATTAGATCATATAGATTTTCATATTTTTCAAATTTTTTATAATATAATAATTTGAATTAAATATAAATTATTTATTATTTTAATTATGTATCATATAAATAAACAAAAGATTGAACTAAATAAACTTCAACTATTTATTATGTGTTAAAAAATAAATGTATGCATAAGG